CCTTTTTAACTCGTGAATTGCGCGCATGCGCAAGAGCGAGTTGTAGGTATGATGTGATGAATGGCGCTCGCTCGCTCGCTCGATTGGTCGATTCCTGTAAACTTTTTTCTATTTTAGGCTTTTGAATGCATTTGATAGTTTTTGGCGAGTGATAAACAAACGAAATGGCGACCTTTGTTGCTAAGAATAGTGTTGGGGTGAAAAAGAAGCCAATGATAATCTTGAAAGAGTAAAAAAGTATACGTTTTTCATTTGTGAATTAATTAAAGTTTGCCCAATCTCCGAATACACTTTTATCTCTTGCAGCGTATATTTCATTTATGGCATCAATACTTCTACTTTTAAATGTATACATCCAGGAAAATGATTATTGTGTCCGAAAAAGAGAAAAAAGAAAACAAAGAAGGAAGTTAAGCAAAATCCAATGTTTAAGCAAAATCCAATGTTTTGCATTTTTGCATTTTTTGCATTTTTGCATCGTGATAGTAACAGCTGATTTTGTACTTTGGACTTAAAGTCCAAAGTACAAAATCAGCTAGGAGAAAAATAGGCAGTAAAATCAGGTGGGAGAAAAATATTTGTTCAAATTTAAATTTGAACAAATATTTTTCTCCTACCACCCTTCGCTGCTATAAAATTCAAATATGAAAGTTATAGTAGTTATCAAGAAAATACTGAGTAATACCTCGCTAAAACAACTCCCGCTCTGTAGGCTACAGAAAAACGTCCATGTGAAACTAAAAAACTCGATTTGCTGTTGTTATTTACTTTTAAGGGCGCGTGTCGAAATTGGATGCGATCTCAGTGATCAGAGGTTGTCCTGGTTAAAAGTAGAAAAAGCAATTTTCTACAGCATATCTAGTTTCCCATCTCTTAAAAATTCCGAACCCTACACACATGAAACTTAAAAATATATTACGATTTCATTTCTATGTTGTCAACGGAGAGTAAGTCGGCGGCTTTGTGTCACTGAAAATCTTGTTTTATTTGTAATGATTTACAGAATGACTTGATCAAAAGGTTAAGAGATGATATATATTGAGCGCCTACCTGTCTTTTCTAAAATCAGTAGGACATTAGTATCGATGAACCCACAGTAAAATGCAAAAGTCAAATAGTATTTGATTGGGGAAGACTCGAAATACCATTTGCCGGGAGTTTGCTCTTGTTCTTGTGATCTGGCACTTTCCATGTACGTCAGTGTGAGTGAGAAAATTGGCTCAGAAACTTCTTGGTCGCCAGGTAGCAACGACTACACCGGGAGCAATGAAGGGAAGAAGCAATTCTGATCCCATTAAGGTAATGGAGAAGTCAAATCAATTTTTTATGCCAATAACAAGAAGGAAAAAGATGAGAAAGGAAAGGAAATGTGCTGGAGATTAAAAGTCTTTTCAAGCATGTCTTTCAAACAGCAAAGCTGACATTATTAATTCCACTCGATTTCTAAATTTTGAATGATACAATTAGCTGGTGTAAAGAGATTGTGCAACAATTCTCAGAAAATAATGATGACTAGTGACAAATCCTTTGTTTCTGTTGGTTTTGTGCCTCTCTGTAGATCTCTCTTTCCATTGGTCAATACTGGTGTTTGTGTGTTAACAATTAATATTCATCATGTATTCTCGATTTTCACGGTTTTGTGAGTTTGACGGTCAGCGAAATTTAGGTACAACACGTGTTTCAAACTTTACTGAGGAACCATGTACGCTACAAGGAAGTTCTTGATTCTTGGCTCTTTTCTCCTTTTGATCGCCAACGTAGCCCTCGGACATGAATCAGAACTGAAATGTCTTCCCGGTAATAATCACAAGGAATATGCGTCTGCCGAAGAAAACTTGTTAGCTTGTGAAGCGTACAAAGGTAATTCTTGCTGTACCAGTGACTTCACCAAACAGCTGGTCACCTCTCCAATCAAAAACATCTACAATTTCTCGTGGACACCTTGTAACAACAACTTGAGCGCCAGATGTGAAGCGTTTTTGGTGTTGATTGAATGCTTCTACCGTTGTTCGCCCAACGCGATCCATTGGGAAAATCCAGACTTTCCTTCTGCCATAAAGAAAGCCCCCATTTGCGCAAGTTTCTGTGATGAGTGGTACGATGCTTGCAAATACGACTTAACCTGTGGGAGAAACTGGCTGACAGACTTCAACTTGACGGCCGATGGAGTCAACACGTGTAAAAATCCTTGCAAAAACTTTAGCGATTACTTCACCGATGGCAAGGATCTTTGCGAGGGAAAGTGGGGCAAGACTTTTGTCTACAAAGAAAATGATGTCGATTGTTTGAAAATGAATTTTACGAGTCCTAACCCGAACGACGAGTTGGTAAAAAAACTGTTTGGTCACAAAGACACAAAGTGTGCTAGTTTAGTAATTGTTTGGATTACGTCATTGCTCACTGTTGCCTTGTCGTTGTAGCTTTAAATAAGTTTCAGTTTGCTTGAATCAGCTGTAATTCGCTTTTAAATGCTTCGTTACTTTAAAACCGTTCACTAGAATGTAGATAAAAGCAAAGCTTTGGGAGTAAGATCAGCGAATAAAATTCACCATAGTTGACTTTGGCACAGTTCTGTTATATTGTGCTGAGTGATACTGATGATTGTCGTTCAGGGATTTAAGCGTGAATTGAAACATTGAATGCTTACCAACACCTGCCATATGTTTTTTCTATGAAACAACTTCGGTGCCTTTTTTTGGAAATTTTTCTATTTGAACGTATATCTGACAGAGTCTTGATTTTTGACTTAATTGTCTTGATTAGTCGCAATTACATAATCTCCAGAATTTTCTGTCAGTTTATGTTTGCGTGAAATTGTTTGCGTGAAAGTGATTGTGGCAAGAGATGAAGGGAATATGTAAGTAATCGATCCAATCAAGTACGCTTAGCTCGGTTCGATTGGCATGGAAGTATATTTGTTTGAAAATATTAACGGATAATCTCAATCTTTAAACCTAAATGTCGCGTTGTTTATCTCGGCAGCACCCCTTAATTTCCTAATTTCAAAGATGTGATGGACTTTGTGACTTCACACTCGGATGAGCTCATAGTTTAGCCGTCAACAATATATCGGGTAACCTTCAATGACCTTACCTTAAAGAAAGCCGATATTGTGCTACTTTGCACGAGATTGAGCACTGCTGTCATGCAGATAAAATAACCACGCTTCATTGAATTCTCGATAGTAGCTAAACATGGCGTCTTCACCCTTGACTGCAATTTACAATTCTCTTAACATCGGTAACGTCCTATTACTTCTTCTTCTGCTTTTAATGTTACATTACCTTATAGTGTTCTATGAATTCCGAAAAATGCCTCCAGGTCCTCGCTATACGACTCTCCCAGTGTTCGGAAACTTGTTGTCGCTTGACCCCTCAGCCGAGACTTTGTCTGACGTCTTTAAAGGGTAAGTAATTCTTGCTGGATAGTTTGGAATAGATCGGGTTTAGCCTACATGAGCCGCAGGCAGATTTCCAATGAATAAGAGACGTAGAACTCAGTTCTGGTTAATCTCTCTTAAAGCAGAATGTATGATACTGAACTGGAGTCATTTTAGTACAACAATGTTCGCGGGCTGTTTTGTTCGCAGTTCTGTTATCAGAGAACATCTATTTCTGCTTTCAGTATTTTTTGGAGGCATAAGCCATGCAAAGTCCAGAATACATCAATCCATACTGTTATTCCTTGTGGACATACACTTCGTGCCACTGGGTGACATAATGATCGATAATTCGTTGTACGACCTACGCACAAAGAAGATGAGAAATGCATCAATTATCATACTAATTCAGTAACGCTACGCAGCTTAAATTATTGTTTATCATGTGAAAATGACAAGTTTTTAAAGCCTCCTAGCATCAAAGTTACCCTTTTGATTCTGAACTAACTTTTTCTGCCTCCATTCAAGAAAATATTTCAAATAAATAATTATGCTACCTGTGTTACAGCCAAAACCATTTGATACTCAATGAAAAACTTGACAACCCTAACGGGCTCTTTGTTTGATTTTTAGCCTCACTAAAACCTTTGGCCCGATATTCTCTTTAAAAATGGGTAGTTACAAGTTCGTGATGGCGTCGTCTCGAGAAGCTGTCCATGAAATGTTAATAAAAAATTCTGCTCATTACGCAGGAAGACCGCAAACCTATGCCTTCTATACTCAAACCTTAGGTAAGTTAGTACGTCATGAAGCTAACGAACTTTTCATCAGTATGGAAGCTGGTGTATTTTTGCAGCTTGATTTTAGGAAAGCTTGACACTGATTGACATAACAAGAGCATCCATATTAGTGGTATCTGTATACAAAGCCCTCGTTTCATCACGTCACGCAAGAAGCTCTCTCCAAGAGAACGTGTTGTGTGACGAGAAGTAACAAAGCGTGACGTGACGAGATCTTACATGTATGCATTTACTAACAACCCTCTAGATCTAATTGCCATTTTCAGTCAAGAACCACAAGCCTAAAGGCAATTTTCATTCGTGTTCGGCTGTCATAAACTATTTGGCCCACATTTCATGTTGGTCTGGCAATTTGAGCCAGATATGGAGGCGGGCCGGGGTAGTCTGTGGCTGGTGTTCGAATGAGACCTCATATGTGCAAGAGGATTACTCCTGGATGCAAAAAATTGCCTGGGAAGGATGCGGCGAGAGGCATCCGGGGGAGGAGCAGTATATTTATAATTTCCTGTTTCTTATGTCTTTGATGGTTGTAACCCTTTTGGCTTCAAAGGCTTTCGTTCCCCGGGCGCATTGGTGTCGCCTCTGTGATCATGTTTTCTAACTACTCCTCAAGAGATTACGTTTATTTTAAAGCTTTTTAAGTTTTGCCTTCGATGAGTCTTTGTATATTTAGAATGGCTGTTCATGGGCACTTGTCCTCAAGTACATGGAAGACACTCAATTGCGTTATCGATAGTCTCTAGCTTAGCAATCTTGCCGCCATGGCAATCTCACAGAGATACATATAGAAACATATGTTTGGCAGAATTGTGAAATGTAGCTGTGATTACTCATCTGTTACGTTATCCTAACAACTGGGTTTAATTCAAATTGTAGGTGGTAAAGATATCATCATGGGTAACTTTGGCCCACAATGGAAGAAGCAACGGAAGCTCTTCACTGCAGCTTTGCGACAGTATCTTCTTGATGTCCCGCTCATAGAAAGGCGAGTCGCGACACAAGCTAAGAAACTTATACAATTCATGGAGGAGCAAAATGAAAAGCCTTTTAATCCCTCGGATTGCTTGATGCGAAGCGTGGCTAATGTTATTTGCGGTATAACATTCGGTGAGGGGGAAGACACGACCAATCCAGAATTGGACCAACTTTTGAAATTGAACGCCGATGTCATAGCTAACGATGACGATCTCAGATTAGCTACAGTCTTAGAGTTCTTCTCATGGGCACGTTATTTACCACTTAAGGTATATGACCGTGTTCTGCAGCCGTTCTTTGAGATTCATGATATCCTCCGTAAGATCTTTAGATTGCGCGCGAAAAAATATGATCCAGCAGAACCTGTGGAGAATTTGATTTCTGGTCTTCTCCGTGCCAAGTACGAAGCGGAAAATAAGCCAGACGACGAGATGGGAGACGTTCAGCTGTCCGAAGACCATTTTGTAATCACTATCGAAGACATGTTTGTTGGCGGGTATGAGACCACAAGTACCACACTAAAATGGGTTATTGCCTTCTTGGTCAGGTATCCGCAGCACCAAAAGGACATTCAGCGCCAGCTGGATGAGGTAATTGGTGCGGAAAGAAACCCTTCCTTGAATGATCGCTCCAGTCTACCACTCGTGCTGGCCACAATCATGGAAACCCTAAGAGTTGGAAACTTACTACCCATAGCACTGCCTCATGTTGCTCTTACCGACACGACATTGTGTGGCTACCGTGTACCGAGAGACACCATCGTCTTTGCCAACACAGAAGCCATTCATCTAGATCCAAAATTTTGGGAAGACCCCACCCTGTTCAATCCATACCGTCACCTAGACAAAGACGGCAACCTGATCACCAATCAAGGCAACTTCTATCCTTTTGGAGCTGGCCGGCGTGCATGCCCTGGTGAAGCCCTGGCAAAAGTTGAGCTGTTCATATTCATCTCGTGGATGCTCCAAAAGTTTACTTTTGTAGCTGATGAGGGGCATCCAGTAAACACGAAGGGGGCTTTTGTTCAATTTCCTTCTCCTTACAAGATACGTGCCGTCAAGCGACAATGAGGTATCCCGAGTACCATTTACCCAGCTTGTCGGTTGTGTCCTACCCACTAAGACTATGGATCTTCATAGAATGAAGACTTAATTGCCAAAGAGGCCACAGTTTTTGCTTAAATTAAAAGCGCACTTGGAAACTATATCATTTGAGAAAATTCAATTACCTTTCAGTTGACTGTGGTACGTACAACCGAATGAAATACGACCAGGAAATTCAATTAAAAACCGAAGTGAAGTAAAATTATTGCAGTCTCGTTTGACTTTCGACACTTATTTTAAAATGTGCTCCACCTCGCTGAATTTATCTCCAAAATTTCAATCTTAATTTTGATGCTTTGAAGCTTAGTATTCTTTCTGCTAACCCGTTTGCATACTACACGACTAGCCATCACCCAATTCCATTTTTTTGGTGAGGCCTTTGTCAATTTTGACCTTGAAGTGCGGTTATGTGTAACTGGACCTCTTTTTGATATGAAAGTTTATTTAGATATATTTTAGAATTCATGACAGCTATTGCCTCTGAACTATTTTAATAAATTCCTCTTATTTTTGCACTGTATAGAATGTGAGGGCATTACATAATAGTCTTAAGTTTTATGCACAATATCAGCAATAAAGGTATGCCATGTTGTGTCACGTGGGAGACGCCATGACCTTATCGTTAGTGCGCGGAACTCTGGGTCGAGGGGTCTGGGCTCGAGACCTGGCCGGGTCAACGTGTTGTGTTCTTGTGCAAAACACTTTACTCTCACAGAGCCTCCCTCCACACAAGAGTAACAATGGGTACCTGGGAAGCCTGGTGAAATACCTGGGAGGGAGGGAGGGGAGGAGTGGAGTAGTGATACCCTTACTTGCCTCATGCTCAGGAAAACGTAATGAGCTCCAGCCGGGTGGGACACTTGGATTGTGTACATAACCTTTAGCCATGTAGTATGTAGCACAACACTGAATTGATAGTTACTGAAATGCGAAATAACCAAACAACATTAAAGTGATAAAATAGACTGTTTAAGGGGTTTTCACTCTTTACTGTTACTGACTCGAGATAAGCGACGAGTTTCAATCCAATCCAATCCGAGTTTATTTCGCACTATTCAGATTAATAGACCACTTTCATAAATGGCGGCCGGATTAATATTCTTTTGTTTAAATTTAAATTAGCCCTTCTGGCCTCGTTCCCCAGTTCAAAATTCAAAAGAATACATTATCTCAAGCGAGGCCAGAAGGGCTAATTTAAATTTAAACAAAAGAATATTAATCCGGCAGCCATTTATGAAAGTGGTCTATACAGTATAAGATGACTTCTATAACCAGGTAAAGAAGGTAGTGAGAAGTAGATATCATGCAGGTTTTTATATGTGTGCACAGTGACCAAAGTAGCCGTAGCTTTCGTGTTGGTCACTGTCCCATTTAATCAAATGGAGAGGTCCAAGATACAAGTGTGAGATAATAATAAATTAGGGTATTAAGAGAATAATTCTTCTCTCTCCTAACTCATGCACCCTCAAGCTTAACTCCGCTACTCATACACCCTCAAGCTTAACTTCCTCTTGAAAACAAAGCAGCTACTCCAACATTTTCTTAGGAGTTTGACATAGTATTTGAAGGGGAAAAGGATTTTAAGGCTATCACAATCTACAAATGATATCAGAAGGTTGTACATGTCATTATTATCTGGCTGTGTCTCACAAGGACTGGGACACCGAATTCTCGAATTTGATTGGCTGAAATCAATATTGAAAGCGGTCTAGATTTTCCCATCTAGACTGGCATCTAGACCGGTCTAGAAAGAAGGTACAAAGAATATAAAAAAATTGGCATGTAAGACACAGCCATATAATAAACATCTTATTAACCGAGCTTGGTCAGTCTGTATGGGGAGAATCTTGACTTCAGTCGCTGGTACAGACCTCCCTGCGTTCGATCTGTACTGGCGACCTCGGTCAAGATTCTCCCATACAGACCTCCCGCTCGATTAATAAGAACTAAATAACAAGTTCTCAGCTTATGAGTTACAAACGAAAATCGCTAGCGACACACGCCGATGGAAACTTGCCTAACAAGACTTATTCGCCGGGTTCAGACAAATCGTGGAAGGGTGAGGTCTACTGCGTTTGGGTTTACTCCGCCAGCCGTAATCCAGCTTAGTAATTTTTATCATTTAATTTGTAACTGACTTATCCGAAGGGGTTATACAAAATATCTTGAGCTGAAGATCTTTTAACACGGAAGAATCCTGTGATGAGACGGTGGTGGGGAGAGGGAATGTTGTGTTTGAAGGTCACGGGTATACTCTTGTAACTTCCAGAATCTCCTGATCATAACCAAATGTCGTAACATGTCAGGAGGGAAAAGACTCGCCAAAGATGGTTAAAGGGAGTTGGTATGATTCCATTGAGCAAAGTTGCCATCAAAACGTTATGCTGATTCTAGCTCCACAGAAATTCGTGATTCAAGCAAGTCTGCTTTATGTCAAGGATCAACATATTTTTAGGGTTAGTTATGATCATGAACGTACGGTGGCCCTTAAGGGACATGACACATTTTTTTTATCGCGCGATAAATGATAGATTATCGCGCGATAAATGGAAATTATCGCGCGATAATTTATCATTTATCACGTGATAAATGGAAACTTGTCATGTCACGTAATCGGCTGTCATGCATGTTGTTTCTGTGGACGACAATGACTGCTACAGTCGAGGAGCTATGTTTTGAGGTCGATAGTTCGTTTTATTCATGTAAAAAGATCATTTAGCAGTACGTTGCAATACTACGACACATAGCTCTTTGAATCAGTATAGTAAACCTTGATTTTGCGAAGTCCGATCCCGTGGAAATTTTGTATTATTTATTTATTTATATTTTGTGATAACTTTTTGATGATTGCATGACTTACACTGTCACGGTTGTGTTACACTAAAACCTTAAAATAAACTTTCATCAGTTTGCTCATCTTCCAGTCTATACTATATGCCCTCTAAATTTCTTTGTCATTGCTCAAATATTCTATCAAATATTATATCAATCAATTCTCTGCATTCCTCCAAACAAAAAACACATTATGATCGTGACTGTACGCCAGCAGGATCCAATTCTTTAATTATGACTCGTACGGTCTCCTTCTGGACAACAAGACTGTAGTCAATTCTTAATCGCAGGTGCATTTTGCGATAACCAATACTGTTCCTGCATGGACAAATGCAACGGATTACCGGACAGAAGTTGACCTGGATGACATTGATGTGATTGATGGTGAATGCTGCGACTGAAAAAGCCCCACAAATTGTTTGTAGGAATGCAGAGAACTGATTGATATAATTATGTAAGAGCAACAGTTGGAAGTGCCTTCAATTGCTCTAGAAGCCCGTAACCTTTTCGTGGATCTCGTTTATCTCATCGGCAACAGTTGGTTCAGTTCTTGTATCATGTTTTTTTTTTAAGGGGAATGAATTACACCCGAAATCTAGCCTCATGTGTCCCTAATGCCACCCTCTCTTTGTGTGCGAGGCCTTTCTGGCAAAAGAGGAGCGACAGCTCTGGTGACATTTGTGTCAAAGTTACTGTGTTTACATATTTCTGTGCGAAATAGAGGATACTTTAAAAGCCTATGAGCATTGTGTAACTACTCGTGTGCACGAAGTAATTTGACCTTATTCGGCCCGAGCTATCTTTTCAGACTGCGGAGTGAAGCGAATTCCGCCCCCTTCACCTCCGTAACTTCCAGAATATTTGAGCAATGACAAAGAAATTTAGAGGGCATATAGTATAGACTGGAAGATGAGCAAACTGATGAAAGTTTATTTCAAGGTTTTAGTGTAACATAACCGTGACAGTGTAAGTCATGCAATCATCAAAAAGTTATCACAAAATATAAATAAATAATACAAAATTTCCACGGGCTCAGACTTCGCAAAATCAAGGTTTACCATACTGATTCAAAGAGCTATGTGTCGTAGTATTGACACGTACTGCTAAATGATCTTTTTATATGAATAAATCGAACTATCGACCTCAAAACATAGCTCCTCAACTGTGGCAGTCAGTGTCGTCCACGGAAACAACATGCATGACAACCGATTACGTGACCTGACAAGTTTCCATTTATCACGTGATAAATGATAAGTTATCGCGCGACAATAAATATTATCGCGCGACAATATTAAATATTATCGCGCGATAATAATAAAAATTATCGCGCGATAATCTCCATTTATTGCGCGATAAATGATAAATTATCGCGCGATAATAAATATTATCACGCGATAATAATAAAAATTATCGCGCGATAATCTCCATTTATCGCGCGATAAATGATAAATTATCGCGCGATAATAAATATTATCACGCGATAATGATAAATATTAACGCGCGATAATAATAAAAATTATCGCGGGATAATTTACATTTATCGCGCGATAATTTTCATTTATCGCGCGATAATTTTTCATTTATCGCGCGATAAAAAATGTGTCATGTCCCCTATGGGCCACCGTATGAACGAGCATTACTCGACAATAACAGCCCAACGTATAAAATATAGCAAACATTTCCACTTCAGGTGACTTTTAATCTCTATCAGCGGCTCTATATCTTCATATCTTTATGCCCCAACAGACCATCTCACCCACACTGGAATTCTCTAGGCTTAATAAGAAGGATTAACCGTTTAAATTTATTTTAAATTCAAGGTAATAGGCCATTTCCGAATATCCTCGGCCTCTTCAGTAAAACGAGGCCCAGTGTTCAACTACTCTTGTTAAAACTGTAAGAAGACTTTTCCGACACTCCCTTGTAAAGTTGATTTTTCTTTATTCTTTTTCTTTAACACAACTTACTGCCTTGGAAACTAGCTCAGATCTGAGTGAGAGTGCTGGTCACCAGCTTATAAAGGTGATATTACTCAGCTGTCAATCTTTATGCATCTTCATCATTTCCCACTCATTAACTTACGAGAAACAGTTCCTGCATACTAGGTGTGTACCTTCCAGATATTTACGCTTTACAAAATAATTTCTACCTTAAATTACCCTTACTCTTACGGTCAAGGTTGGGGGAAACAAAAACAAGATTGACAATATAAAAGTTATTATGAACTTATTGATAGAATGAGAATCATACTTAAAAGGATATATTTAGAGAAAAAAGCCTTCGAAGATTTTTGCATAACCACAGAATAAACAGAAAATTTGGAGAAGAAAGGGCGTACCCAAGGTACCGCCTCTCTGCTGTTCATATAAGTTACCTGATTATATATTCAGTGTGGAGGATGAAAATTATTAGTATTTTACATCTTTAGTCGCCTTTAAAGAGAGAGTTGTTGAACATGCTAGATTTGAGATTTAGGAAATATTTTCTTGATCGGGAATTCGACATGGAGTTAACCTAAAAACGAGAATATCAAAAGGGTTGAGAATAAGGTAAGGGTAATTTCCAGGAAATTCCTGTATAGTGCGGGATCAAATTTAATAAGGTAATGTCATTTTCTTCGTAATTGAAACAGCTTTTCGCAATTCAAGGTAATGGAAATATCCTAATATTCAACTACAAATTGTAGTTTACGTAGAAACATCTTTCTGCAAGTCAAATTCACGGACACAATAAGAAAAGGTGACAGAAATTCTACTTGTAAGATAAGACCAGGATAGAAAGACCGCCAAAATGAACAGGAAATGATTAACTTACTTATTATAATTTTTCACTGAATGGCTTCTAGTGATATATTATTTCCATCCATTTCCAACTCTTACATAATTATTAAGTTTAAAAAAACACATATAAGGAAAATCCTTGCTAAATGCCAATTTTGTCTTTTAACAAAATGAGTTTTATTTACATGTGAATGAAAGCGTATTATCAAATGAAAAGGATGGCAACCAGGACTCGCTTTGAAAAAGAGGCTAAAGGTAATTTGGAAAAGGGTTATCAAGTAATCGTGTTACATGTATTTGGGGTTGCTTATCTGTCTTGGAGAAGAATAAGAGGCTGAATGGAATTTCTACGCAAGCAAGATTGGCTATATCTACATACCCTTGTGATCTTCGAAAATGGAGGTGACAAAGGAATAATTTATGTTCAAAACTCGGGTGCGCCTCTTGGTTTCACTTTAGTTGTGAAACTTGCTGATGACATTTCTATGATCAGTGAAAAACTGTGGTCAATTTGTTGAATAGAATATTTCAATTAAGCATCGAAGATCTAAGATCGGTCTAAAAAAAGCACACGCCAAACTCTCAACCAATCAGATGTGGGACTGAAACCGTGCTCGCCTTTGTCACTCAGGTTCTCACGTGCTCGAGGCAGTCTAAGTTCTCATTGGCCTCTTCATTTTCCTCCGCTCTGATTGGCTGCTGATTTAATCTTTACGATTGATCTTACAACGCTCAATGGAATAGCGCTCTAGACAAAGAATTTTAGTTTGTTTGAAGCATTTCCAAAAGAAAAAAAAAGCTTTTAGAAAACTATTTCACTTTCGCCTTATGGCACGTATCTTGTAGGGAGCAGGAAACTGAGTGATACTAAAGATTCCCTTTAGCTCAGGAGGATGGCCATCTTCTTCAGGAACAAAACTGAAATTGTGAAGGATCCACGACACAAACAAGAACAGTTTCACTTTAGCAAGGTCTTTCCCAGCGCATACTCGGCGGCCAGCTCCGAAAGGAAAGAAGTTACTTAAGTTGGTGATAAGCTGACCATTTTTGTTGATGTGACGATATGGATTGAAATCGGTCGGGTTCTTCCAACAATTGGGATTCAGATGAACAGATTCTGTGTTAGCAAAGACAATTGTATCTTTAGGAACGCGGTAGCCGCACAGCGTGGTATCTGTCGTGGTCATATGAGGAAGTAAAAGAGGTCCAACGTTTCCAAGTCGCAGTGTTTCGATGATTGCCGCTTGCACTAGCGGCAACCTGGCACGATCATCCAAGGAGGGATTTCGTTCACCAAGTACCTCGTCTAGCTGGTGTTGAATGTCTTCTTGGTATTTTGGATTGTTAACCAAGTAGGCAATCACCCATTTTAAGGTTGTGCTTGTGGTTTCGTAGCCGGCAGCAAACATGACCTCGACATCGTTAACAAGGTAGTCATCAGAGAGAAACGCGGACCTTTCTCCATCGCCTGCCATCTTTGCTTCGTTTCTTGCGCATAGAAGACCCGAGATGAAATCCTGTACGCTCTTTGCTGGTTCGAAATTTTCTTCGCGTTCTCTTAAGAATTTGCGAATGATTTCAAACATTTCGAAGAAGGGCTGGATGAAACGATCGTAAGCCTTGATCGGCAGGTACTTCGTAAAGGGGAAGAAATCCAATACAGTGACAAGTCGCGCGACTTCGTCATTTTCAACAATATTAGCGCAAAGATTCAAAAGCTTGTTTAAATCCGGGTGCGTTGTGTCAAAACCTTCACCAAAGGTTATCCCACAAATGACATCAGCGACACCTCGCATGAGGCAATCAGCAGGATCGAAAGGTTTGCCATCTTGTTCTTGCATAAACTGCACCAATTTCTGCGCTTGAACTGAAACTCTGCTCTCTACAAGAGGAATGTCTGAAACATACTGGCGCAATACTGATGTGAACAATTTTCGATGAAACTTCCAAGCAGGACAATAATTGCCAAATGCGATATCTTTGCCACCTGCAATAAATGAATGATGCAGTGATCGCTTTCAGAATACTTCAAGAAAGGATTTCAAGAAATTTCATTCATATAGAATCACCAGCTCAATCTAAGTCTCTGGGGATCCACGCAAAACTAGCCAAACATAAAATGCTGATGAACTGGTTCCTTGGGCAACTGATTCGCCTGAGGACTTAAGCTGAGATCCTCAAGTCATTTTGATTTTATTTGTTCGATGTAAAAGGCAATCCAAGTGATGACTCTCTTTTCTCTGTTTCCTGATCTGACAGGAAAAAGAGCTCTTAATGATACATAAACAATGGGCAGAAGGCCTTACCTAGTGTTCGAGTTTGAACGGAATATGTCTGTGGTCTTCCAGCGTACTCAATAGATTTGGTAATAAGCATCTCTTTAACAGATTCAGGTGTGGAGGCCATAACGAACTTGTAACTACCAAGTTTCAGCGAAAATACTGGACCGTAGTTTTGTCTAAGGCTGAAAAAGAACAAAAAGGATCGTTTGATGAACATCGATCTGCCTTATAATGCTTCCCAAAATAATTTTTTCAACCAAAATCACTGTCGTGTGTTTTGTTCCAATCTCCTCCACATTGTCATCTTTGTTGGCTTTGCAGCTATCATGAAGGAGGGTCTAAGCGAAGAACAAGTTTCAATTTCATTTCTTACATAGAACACGAAATCTAAACAGGTTTTAAAAGAACTAAAGACGATTCGAATCTTTTATAATCGCTTTTTCATTTCAAAAGTCATAATTCCGTAAGTGATATATTGTGGCCACTGAACAAAAGGTGTCATTGCAATATGGATTCGTGCACGTATCTCCGTTGGTTTAGCTAAGAAAGCTTAATTTTTTGTCAGTCAAGTACGGTTGAAACCTGTGATGTGCCTTTTTTCTAATCAAGGTACAATGAGACATAAGGTATTTCAAATTTAAGATCACAGGAGGGAAACAGGGGGACAGACTACTTAAAAATATGTAATACTCCTAAGAGATAAAAACATCAGGTTCCAGCTTAAGGGGAAAAAATTCGTCTTCAAACATATACGAAAATTGTTTTTTCCACAACAATTGACCATTTCAGTAGTTTAAAAAGACATGAATGGAGACTCCAGCAATAGAGGCAGATGGAAATCCACTGTTCAAAGAAGATGTAGAAATGTTAATAGTTATTTTATACTTTATGTTAACGACAGGCGGTTTTGGAAGGAGGAATTCAGTAACGCGATTTGAGCTTTCGTAACTAAAGCCAAATGCATTATTCGATAAAGAACTAATAATCGTATCTACTTAAAGTAATTTCTCCATTTCTTTATCCAATTTGGTCCTATCTTCATAATTAAGTTACCAATGCCGCCTAATCCACCCAATCCATTTCAAATGACTTGAAGACATTGTTTTTACAACAGGATTAATATAATCGATCACCGCACAAGCTTAGAAAGCAATTTGTCATCATCGTCCATTCAGCAATAGGGACTGTTTACCCCCTATCATTATTTGAATCTATTCAAATAGGCCTGGACGAAAAAAAAAGTCCTAAAATGCGGTAACGGGTAAAAACGTACCTGCTTAAAAATGATCGCTCATGAATATCTATAGAATAGTGGAACAGTCTATTATCACTAGCTACCGGTAACTAAAGAAAAAAGGAAAATGCAAATTGAAAAGAGTTCGAGGAGAAATCAATTGAACCGCAATTACCACAAGAATCATGCTGTGGAAGGCTATTTCTGTACCATGAATTAAACTAAAACTATATATAACGGTTTGTTTAACGGCGACACAAAGGATTATTGACAAGTAATAGTGAAAGACAGCGGCAACTAAAAATAACAGGAAAAATGCTTTCTATTTACACGGGTTGGTTACGCGCATATGTTAAACAGTGTGGGTGGTTCGGATTGTTCTAAAATTAGAACATTCTGCTGAGAAATTACAAGTACATTTAAACCAACTTTCTGAAAAAAAAAATGGGATGATTGGCGAGAATTGATTTGAAACGAGATAAAAAGAGTATAGCAACAATGGATGTAGATAGATATACAAATTTACTTCTCAACGCGATGATATAGTTCCAATCATTAGTCATGCGTTTCCAGATAGGTGTGTGAGCTATTAAGTTCGATTTCCATAGAAAATTCATTAAGTGGTCATATGTTTTCAAGGTTGTTAGGATTCCAGCAAAGAAAAATTTCAGGAATTACGCCAACTAACCGTAACGTGTTTCCATGGCAGAAGTTAAGGACACTGTTTATTTAGTATTGGAGTTGTTTTTGCTTCGACAGATATGTGTTTGGATAGTTAGATAAGTCGAGTTGTTAAACCGTATATACTACACTGTATACAAATAGCTGATTTATAATTACATAACAATTGAATAGTAGATGGACTCAAAGGACATTTCCAATTTTTGAATCAGAAAAAATGCTGCCAAAAAATTGTTCTTTCCTTCGACATTTGTACCTGACACAATCATCTTTTACCCAAAAGCAAAAAACAAAAATGTTCTTACAACAAATCGATAGTTAAATACTTTATAATGCGATACACTGACCTTTGGAAAGCGTCGGTGAGTTTCTCCGCCTTCGAGTCGAGAGAAAACACATTACCTAAAACGGGAATAGTTGTTAAACGCGGGCCTGGTGGCATACCTCTGAACTCATACACCACCATCATGTAATGTGATACCATCAGAAGGAGCAACAAGAAAAGAACATTGCTAAGGCTGAGGAAATCGTAAATTTTGGCGAACACCGGCGACATGTTTACGGGGAAGGATAGTGGTTAAATTGACTCAATTGAGGACCACACGGTCTTAAATCTGACGTCACGCAAAAATTTAGGATGAGAGCGAGTTTGCGCAAAAAGGAGATGTCTGTGTCTTCCGCTATTGCGAAAGAGGTTCTAGCTGATGATGGCTGTCCCACACATTGCTCTATGATAATCAAATTGAACTTAACGTGGAAAGGTTGCGTCAAAAATAACTTATGCGATGGACTTTTAAATACAACCTTTTTCGTAAGTATCGTTGAATTGGTGTAGAGCTCTACTCTAAAATGGGCCATATATTGGAGTGCTTTCAATAAAATTACTTCAAGTTACGTCATCGTCCCGCAACAGTAAACATCTCGTAAACGGAAAATACAGATAATCTCAGGGTAATACAAGAGTCTGTTACTGTTTCATTTTAGATCTCTAGTCGTTCCAATGGATCCTCTAAAATAAGAGTAACCTAAAGTATTTGTGGTCAAATGCTTCCTTCGACACAATAATATAAAACCTTTACATTAGACGCGTATTTTTTTGTTAGTGCTGTGGTGTTTGTTTTTGGTGACGGTAAAATCACAGGAAGTGCAATATCTCTCTCATGTTTTTTAAGAGTTTCGAGTGTGTTTGAATTGAAAAATTGGTCTTAAGAATTTAAATCAGTTAGAACGGGTTTTCTAAACAATTCTAATTCACAATTGAATAAAACTCTGTTCAAGCTTTATCCGTTTCCCGTTGGTCTAACCTGTTCTGCTTTTCTATGGCACACAATGCGTGGGTCACTATCATAATCATTTCCTGTTGGCAAACTTCAGCTCCTAACTAACTTCCTGTCATTTGGAAACAATGCCTAAACAAGTGCCAAAAAAATACGCCGCAATACCGCTCGAACCGGCTAAGCTGATGTCGAGACGGACCAAAATACGACGTTATTGTTGACTGAGGAAATTATCTGTTGAATGGACTTCAAAAGTTCTTTTTCCGCGTACTAGTCAGTGCAAGCTTACTCAGGATTTGTACGTGACGTTTGGCTCGGACTGCGGAAGCTGTGCTCTGATTTGAGTTTCAAATTATAGAGTCGAATTTCCACGATCTTTTTTTTTTCGTCGGCAGATCGGATGAACAATTCATTTCAATTGTTTGTTCTTTACTTTGGCTAGTAGCCACCAAAGAAATTTGTTAGGGTAGAGTTTCGTCCATAGCTCGCAGGAGTTTCCTGCTGTTCGCAATGAACGAAAAAACATTGCTACATGGTGTTAAAATTTTAAAACGTCTCCTCTGTGTAGCGAACAAACCCCGACATGTCAAGTTTGAAGCAAATTAGATAACGCGGAATACGCCATGAACGACCTATTACGGGAACATTATTCGCAGAAAGGGTCCTACGGTGTCATCAGTTAACAGTCTCAAAGCTGTTTAGTGTAGTGTTTCAAAGCACTCAAAACAAATTACGAAAAATAACCACTGCACTTTGTTTCAAAAATAGCAAGTCATCCCGTTCTTTTCATTTGCTTTTGACGTTTCCTGTTCTACGTTAAGGAATGGCTTATGTTCATTTCACACACCTGTTACTAACCGAGGTCGAGGTCGAGGTCTAGTCTGTACTTTCAGGAAGGAATCGATTTCGTATAACAGGTTATAAAATCTTGGTTTTCCACCCTTCATTTGAAGGCCAAAAGACCCTAAAATCTGAACGCATTTTCTCCATACTGTTCTCTTTTCATAACCTATGTGCTAACTAGGAGAATTTGTTTACAGTCAAGAGTTTCTTAAGTTGATGATCATTTCCTTGATTCTCATGATTTTTGTGTTTGATTCAGCGGTGATAATGTGGGAAGAAATTAGGTACGAGTCTGTCGTAAGAGTTAAATAGCTAAATGGAAAGGGAAAACAAATGATAATACGTAATCACACTGTGCGGATCGACAACACTAGGTAAGCAAGATATTTATTATACCTCTGCTCTGTGTCTGACGGGTTTGGAAAACGATCTAGTCTGACCCTGTGACTTCAAACGACTGTCGCACGACGAAAGAAGAGCAAGTGCATAAAAAAAAAAAAAAAAATGTTGCTCTGTGGTTTAAACACGGAACTTTACTAAAGACGACACATATATAACTTTCACTTTCCCACGAAAGCTAACGAGAACTGGCGATGAAAGGCGAGATATTTTCGCCGAAAAAATGACCTTAAACTTAAGTAGGCAGTGTAGCAAAGTCAGTTGAGCCCGTGAAATTGATCAACCACGACGTGCTTGGTAACTGAGGGTTACAACAAAGATGGTGCCCCGGCCGGAAGGACGATTTATCACATAATTTTCTTGGCTGTTACAATAAAGAGACTGAATAGTCTTTTCCATTTATTATAACCTTCATTACTTACATTGTCAATACAGTTTTTTTTCTATTTACTGACGACCTCAAGTATATAATATAAAGAAATCAATGAAGCTAATCAGTTTATTAACAAGGTGAAAGTTGGATCAGTTCGTTCCTTTTCAATTGCTTCGCCGTTGTAAACGAAATAAGAAAAAGGGTACATTGAAAAAAAATCAAACTGGTCACAAGTCAGGCACGAGCGTATTTACTTACAGGAACGAAAATATATTCTGTAATTGGCAAAAGCCAAGTGGAAAGCCAAGAAACTGAATTCTCGTAACGAAAGTCCTGGCCTGAATGTCACGCAACCTGTCACATAACGGAGTGACGTTAGGTGAAGAAGTGCGTTACAATCTACAAGCAGACCGTCTTCGTCGCAGCTATTATTCTTTAGTCTGGTAACGCGTTAGCTGACTTGACCAAACAATTAAAACGTTAAAAATCCGCAAATAACAATAAACTTTGACTAATATCTCTTATTTTCAAAAATTATCCTTCATCCTCCGAAATTTCTTTTCCAGTAAAATCTCTAGTGATATCTTTCTCAAGGCGAAGACGCGGATAACGGGGGGTGTTCGGGGGAGGGGGGGGGGAAACGGGGGCGTTCGCAAAACCCCCTGCTGCCCCTCAAACGTACAGTAGCCACAAAACAATTTGAATACTGTACAAGTAAAACACGTTTTTCAACTGGCAATAATTCATAACACTCAACAATTTCCCAAGATTGGCTACAAAATGTGTTTCTTCCAAATAATCCGAAGGTAAGCTTGTAAACGACACTGCTATTGGCCACACTTTTTAAATATAATTCACGCAGAGCCCAAACTAAGCAATTACCTTAAACCTTTTTAACACTTTAACTCCCAAGATCTGATTGTTATTTCTCCCCTCTAGCTGCCTGCATTTCTTTATAAATTAGTCACGAGAATTTGGCGTTGGATCAAGATAACAACTTCAACCTGATAAGTTTGAGTATTCTGTTTAACTTTTACTGTAGCTGGAGATTGTATGGTTATTAAAGAGGGAGAAGTTACGTGTTGAATCAGTTCGGGGAGTTATAGGGCTTACTAATTCTTGGGAACAAATAAACACTTGACTAAAAATATATCTATGGCCGCAATTTTCACCAGAAATTTTTTCCTTCAACGATTTCCTTAATCAATTTCAAAGTAAACTGAGAGAATCCTCTTAACTGATAATACAAAAAAGTTTGATCAACCTTAAGTACAAGAAGTGATTGAAGGTGCTGAAGATATCAAATACAGTGACACTACTACTAAAATTAAAACTATAAAAATCCAAATCAGTCAGTTTCCTTCAATTATTTTTCAGCATCCTTCTTTAAAGATGCGGTACTTGAGTTTTTACAAGTTCAGATTTCATAGAGGAAACCCAAACACTTACCTCTATAAAACTACTATACTGTAAATTGTTGTTTACAGTGATAAACTGCATCTAATGTCAGAGCAATTTTCAGAAAAGCATTTCTTGACGGCTTGTCTGAGAACTTACTTGACAAAGGAAAAACGCTTCAAGCACTTTCCTTTTTTAGAGACTAATATTATTTAAAAGGCACCAAAATACAATAAATTGGCCAAACCTTCCCTAAATTGTGTCCAATTCCCTTAGTAGGTTTTGTACACTCTAGCTATTGTCAACTGCCTTTATGACACACTTGACTGTATATGCAAAGGCTGCAAAGCCAATGATAACACAAATGTTCACCAGGGTACTACTGATGAGGCCGTTTTGTCCTTCCCGTGTAGCCCCAGCCACTCCTCCCTCTCTATTACTATTGTTCTGTGATGTAGTTTCATCCCCTTCTCTCATTTCTCCTCTTTCTTTCATTTTTTCTCGTATTTCCTGTGAAGTCAAGCATGAATATGAGGGATAACATAAACAACAGGTATGACTTTTGTGCATATTGCAAAAAGCTCCCCACAAATTACTCTATCACAGGGAAATTTGAGGATAATAAAATTAGAATTTACATAAATATGCAGTTTCCCATGCACAGAAATTTCAAGGTTGTTTGTTTCTCACAGCTTCCCTGGTCATAATGCAGCACGTACAAAGGCCTGCTCAAACACAAGCAGTTGGAAATTTTGTAAATGGATAAAGGTTATTAGTTTTTTAAAGAATCTGTTGTGCAGGATCTGGTGGGTAAGTGAAAAAATTAGAGTTATCAACAGTTCAGCTTTAGGTATTAGCCCTGTGGCACAACTGTTTTTTTTCACCAGTAAGAAAGCATGAAGCCTTGCACAACAGTCTGCAAGGAGTCTGGTACTGATAATCAAACTCATAACTAGGGCCAGACTCCTGACTCATCTCAAATCTTCCTGCCGGCAGAGAAATGGATCTCCTGAAGTGCTAATAATGAAGACCTTCTCACAAATTTCAGAAACCAAGGTTTCAAGAGTTGGCCCTTTGTCAGAACAAATTGAAGCTAGTGCCCAAAATGTAAGCCTCAAATTTCCCTGGGATGGTTCACAGTTGTATCTCTCATTATCAACTTATAGTTACTTACTTACTACTTTCAGAGAAACTTGGCAGTGGTTTGAAATGTAAAATTATTGAGCCACTTTATTGCACTCACCTCTACCATATCAGGGAAAAGTTCACAAAATATTTTGTCTTGTAAGTTAAATGGTCCACTTCTTAGGGCGAACTGCCTTTTCTGAAATTGTTGTTAAAAATTTGCATGTTCAGAGAACATTGTGAGCAGTTTTCAAAAAGAACATACAAGATGGTGGATACTGCTATCTCCTAGTTGAACAGTATTCAAGTAAGTACATGTAGCAACCAAACTATTATCCCCCCTCCCCCACAAAATCAGGAGTACTTATGAAAACCTCATGTGAGTAAGAATGTCTCGTAGTCTGAAAGTGCTTGCTGCAAAAAATTGAATGCATAATTTTGCATAGCAGCACCCACACATTTACAATCACTCTGGTTAAATCTTCTGTTGCAGTTTTAGCATGATTGAACTGAGTTTAAATACCTGGAATTCTGAGGTATCTATGCTGCCCAGGGTTGGTGATGTTTCCACCTGGGCAAACCAAAAACAATACAATTATATTCAGTAAATGTTTTTAACCCGGGCAGGGATGTACCTAAAGTTTTTAACAGGCCAGAATCTAGCAATGATAGGCGGGTATTTGGGCTTGGGTATTTGGGTATTTTTATTCATAATGATTTCACGTACACGAGGTACAAATACCGCTGGCCATTGAGCCTGTAAAATGGAGGATGCGATGTGAATGATACGATCGTCACACTAAATGGAGTGTTTACAATCTTTTCAGTTTAGGTAAGACAGCAATGAAGATGTAAACAAACGGAACAAATAAATAGCAATCTTCTGACAACATTTAAAAACATTTTGGAGAAAGAAGTAGTGCTTTACAGCTGGAAAAATCACGTTCACAGCCGTGTAATTTTCCCGGCTTCCGGCTATTATCTACATCCCTGCCCGGGGTTAACATGTGAAAGTGCAGCGTGATCGTCTAGGTGAGTGTTGTCCTGAGAAGGACAACAGTCCTTCTCAGGACAACATTCACCTGAATGATCACACTACACTTTCACAATACAATTATAAGTAATCAAAACCTCATTGGGCATTTGAAATTGTATAATTTTTGTAGGATTGTAAACCATACTTTTAATTTCAAATTTAGCTAAGAACATATTAGCTAAACTGACCAATCAGTTTACACAAACCAGACTTATAACACTCTCATTTGTCTCTGATGACGACTTCTGCTCAGGTTTTCAAATAGTCAGTCACCACTACCTACAAATCTTTCTCAAGACTACCCTCACGCAGAGGATCAAAGTATATAAATCAAACTCAAGGTTTATTGACCACTTAAGAAGAGAATACCAAAGAGACAGACCCACAGACAGAGTGACAGACAGACAAACGGACAGAGAGATGGGTGGACAGAAAGACAAACAGACAGAGAGATGGGTGGGCAGACACACAAACAAACAGAGAGATGGGTGGACAGAAGGACAAACAGACAGAGATGGGTGGACAGACAGACAAACAGACAGAGAGATGGGTGGACAGACAGACAAACAGACAGACAATCAAACAGAGAGATGGGTGGACAGACAGACAAACAGACAGAGAGATGGGTGGACAGACAAACAAACAGACTACCAGACAGACTGACAGACAAACAAATTAACAAAACATCGGACAGACAGAAAAGGCTAGATCTCTGGCACTGATTAAGGTGGCTCAACACAGTTTTTGATACCTGTGTTTCAGTCACCTTTTTCTCTAAAACCCTTGATCCCTCGGTCACCAAAAATGGCAGCGAGCAAGTTAACAACACAAACTTTGTTTTTTTTTTATGCAGGGTTCGTACACTTTTGACCTGTTAAAATTCCATGACTTTCCATGACTTTTTCCATGACCTTTTGAAAGATTCCATGACCTGTTTGCAAACACTCTCACAATGCGTGCTTCTGTTTAATTCCAATGAAATTAAATCTGATTTTTGGACTCGTCATTTAACTTTTCAACTTTGGGTCTTATTGCCTTTCACTCATAAGGAGCATATTGATTTTCCATGACTTTCCATGACCCATACCTAAATTTCATGACTTTCCAGGCCTGGAAAATGAAATTTTGAAATTCCATGACTTTCTAGGTTTTCCATGACCTGTGTGAACCCTGTGATAGTTAAACTGATGAATATGCCATTGCCACGGCAACATGAAAAGATATAAATAGGCTCTTAAAGTTGGTTTTGTTTATTTGTAGAAAATCTAGTCATTAGATTTTCTTTATAATTTGCGTGCAATGAGCTTGTAACTATATTCACAAGTTGACACCATTAATTTTTGCTAATAATTTAACAGATAGATCTTTAATTATGCCTTGTTGACCATTCACTGAAAAGAATTTCCTTTGTTAAAGTTCAACTTTTTTCAATACTCCAGTAACTTATTTCCTAAAGTATTTCCGTGCCAAATTTCATGAAATTCTAATGAGTGGTTTTCAATAGGCATATTTCCGAGAAAGCAATTTTCCATTAAATTGCAACTTTTTTACTTACTACGCATGCGCTGCATTTAATTGGGTTCTTTCGGTAACAACGAAAAAGCTGAGAATTACTGGGTTCTTTGCACTGTTACCTTTTCTAACATACAGTTTGTAATAAAAGATTAACCTATAGACGTCCAGTGCGCCCGTATGCGCCCATGGGGACCCGCACCCTTTCTACGCCTTGTGACGTCATCACTTTTAACCCTGGAGCATGAATTTGAGCACGTACTTGAACAGGTTGAAAATATCTTACAAACGATACCGGAATGAGCACAATTGAGTGAAGGAGATTGGAGAAATAGCCAAAATTCCATGTAACTTTGACCTGAAAACCTGCACGAAAATCTTGTTCCATTACCCACATACCTTTCTGAGCATGTGGTTTGAAAATAATGAGTAGTTTCTGAAAAATCTCCACACCAGAATGAAGCCTACCAAATTTCCAGCAAGTGAGGAGAAACTTCAGGCAAGGAGAGGGGAAAAAAGGGCAGGAGAAAGAGAGAAAAGTAAAAGTCGTATGTGGGGCATTACTTTTCAACCCAAAAACTGTGTAGAATTTTTGCTTTCTGTGCGTGCCTGAGAATTTCAGGCTGCCATTTTGCATTTGGATCGAAAGGCCATCGAGTGTTCGAGCTGTCAAGGGGTTTTTGGTAAGTTTGAGCTTTTAAAACCACAACAGTGACCCGAAATCTGCTCGACTAGCTTCAAAACACAGTTTTCCACAAAAGCTGCGGCCATTAATGGGTTAAAGCCATCAATTCACTTTCAATTGTCAACTATAGAGAAAAATAGCTCAGATAGTGTGGGTGCGGGTACGGGTATGTGTTGAGTAAATAAAATGAGTGTTTTATTGATGGAATGTTTGCTTTTTACAATCCTTGTGTGCGCACTGAATTGCATCAGCAAAAGCGCATGTGAGAACTGTGTTCGGCCACCTTAAATAGGCATCAAACAGTGAACCCCTTAATCTATAGGATGGATACTGCAGTTTTTTTTTTAAATAATAATATGCCATAACTACTCCAAAGACCATAACATGCAAATCAAATTAGAGACATACCATGAAACTCAATAAGCCTGTCAAAATGGTTGAGACTGACCAAGCTGGATTCCATGTGTCAGGGTGAAAGTCGCTTATTGACAAACATAATCTGAAAACATTAGGGAGAAAATTTTAGGTAAATGTAATAAATGATTGAAATCATGTAATTTGGAGATTCAATGAAAGTACCTAATGTATTATACATGTCTGCACAATCTCGGAAATTCAGCTAAGTAATGCATCACAAATTCAAGAGTATTTTAAAATTTAGGATAACATGTCTCTGTTTGATGTCAAATAAAACTCCTACTATGTGTACATTCACAATGTAGGATATGCTGGTACATATTTCTTACTAATTCTAATAAATAATTTGAGCAAAGCCCTTGAAAAATGAAGACTAGACTTCAGGGCTTGACACTAACTTTTCAACTTACTAGCCAGGTGGCTAGTAACAACTTAGATGTTAAAACAATTTCAGTTTGTTTACTAGCCAAACTGACCAGTGGAAATTGAAACCTACTGGCCAACATTGAATTTCTACTAGTCCATGGCTAGTAGATTCTGTTATTACACTAAATGCACAACTATGATGAAACAGAGATTAAAGTGTTCTGATGGCCATGCCTCACCTTAAAAAAAAAGGGGAATTCATGCTTTCCCTTCCATGATTTAAACATTAGTCTCCATACTACTGGTATTTGTGATACATTTTTTATCATTTTTAGATAACATAATTCAGCATCAAGTCAAATAATTATATCTTATTAGACATTTTGTTGTGTAGTATTGCTGAGTATTTTTGAGTTGTGCCGTATTTTGACCAGCCCGTAGGGCAAGTCTAAATACAAAGAACGAGTAAAGATAGTCAGCGATACTACACAACAAAATGTCTAATAAGTTATTTATTATCCAACACGCCAAACTGTCATTTCAGTGCGGGCGAATTTTGCAGATATTTATTTACGGGGAGTGTGTGACAGAAGTATGCGAAGCGGCGCGTTGTTGTGTTGCTGTTTCTATTTTCTTCATTAAATGAATAAATTTTCTGGTCGTCAAGCTGTTTTTCTTCGTTCGATTCATCTAATGAACTTGGATCTATATTTGCCAGCCACTCTGACTCTTCGTCATCGGAAATATGATTCAAATTGTCAGCCATTTGTTTTTTTTTTTTGTAACTACAATCCAATTCTTCCCTTGCGCGATGCGAGGAAACCTGTTTAACTGGTACTCTACAATAGACGAGTACAAATACCGCGTGATATTTGTACACATCTATGGCCTTATTTGTACTCGTCTAGGTGCAGTTGGATAATAGTATCCTGTATTTGATATTTTTCTTACCTTTCCTTACCTACTGTAAATCCTCTAATAAACCACCCCCCCCTCTAATAAGCCCTCCTTCTTTACAGACGAAAATAACATATTAAGCCCCCCACCCTCCCCCCTCGAAAAAAAAAGAAATTCAAAATAACACTCCATTCAGTAAGTACGATAAATTTATTCAAGTACTGTAATTTTAGTTTGTCATTTAAAATTGATCATAGAGATTGATTAATTGATGTTATCGTGTTGGCATCAATAGAATATTGTATACAGAAATTACAGAACCATACTAAAAATATAACATGGCTAAACAATAAACAAGGTCCATTGAGAGAGTTAGATCAGAAAATTGAGTTCTTTATTGAGTTCTAAAGTTATAATCCCCCCCTCTATTAAGCCCCCTTTTTATAAACCAACCCCCCCACCCAAAGTACCTGAAATAAATAAGCCTGGGGGAGAGGTTAATCAGAGAATTTACAGTATTTGCATGAAAATGTATCTATAGATATTGTAAGAAGTTTATTTTTGGTCACTGCTGAGGGTAAAAGGATTAACAAGCACCCTGCTTACCTAGTATTCACTTTAAATCGTCCATTTGGTGTGATCATAAATATCCTTGGTGGTTTAAAAGGAAAATCTTTTGGGAAAACTAGCTTGCCATGGTAGTATCCACCTACATGATCAAAGAAAAATTAATTACATCATACCGTGTTCTCTGACCACTTCAAACATAACTTACAATTGGAAGAAAAGGGAGAAAAACTTAATATAATTTAATTTATTAAATTCGCCGACAAGCAGGGAAACTCCAACAGCTCGTGCCAATTACTGCGGGCCCAGCAAACCCACCCATCCCACCCCAGGAGAGGACATCCACCAAACAGTAATCTTGTGCATGGGAAATGAATGTTTCCTACCCCTAACCCTGCAGGAGATGGGGACTACGGTTTATTCGTCCTTATCCGAGAAGACTAGAATATCTATTCATTTCTTGATATTAAAGAAAGGTAGAAAATTCTCCTCAGTTATTTTAAGACCACAAGTATTGGTCCGGCCGAGGCTCGAACCCTCGACCTCCCTCACAACATAATCCGGCGCTCTTAAACCAATTGAGCTAACCGGGGGGGCGGTTAAAATTGGTTAATTACCCAAATGAATAACCCAGGTTTTGAATCAGTTTGTAAATCATTATTTTGTTAAAAAAGAGAGAGCAAATGTATGCAAAGGGTATGGGTTCCTTGGAGTGAAATTAGTATGTGATTTTACCGAAAAAAAAACTATTCTACTCAGGCTGGCTGAACACGAGATTGCTAAGACCAACTCAATTCACTATGCCCCTCAATGGTGTACCCTATACAACAATTGTTTAAAAGGATTCTGCGGCAAAGCGTCTAGAATAAGCTGAGATAGTGATATCCTATTACCTACTTCATTATTTTAGTCCCACTGCAAGCACTTACATTTCCCTTCGTATCGTTGCACAAAAATATCAGGTGCCCACGATTACAAAACTTAGGTTTTGAAGTAAAGAAAAAACCGATCTCAACACATCTACAGATGGCAACCAAGGCGACTTATACATGTATAATTATAATTATGATTGGTACTTCTATTTACAGCCGATCTTGTAAATTTACACTCATAAAAACCGAATAAGTCAAGTTACCTGAGTACGGTGTATTTTCTGGCCCTCGGACCACATAATGCCTATCGAAAAAGACCAAAGAGGCCCATGATATGAGAGAAATAAACACACAAAGGATAAATAATTGTATTGCTTAATGATGAAAAATCACGAACCATTCCAAGATATTTGATGGCAATGGCAGCGCTGTGATGTATGGCACAGGATCTTTCAGGATACGAAGATAATCTTGCCGCAGTCTTGAAGCTGCTGTGGTGTGTACGCGTTTCTGGGATGCCATACAACCGTAAAAACGCCAAAAATTGAGACGGGAAATTAGTGTTGACGAAAAGTGGACGACCAACGCAATTGCGTATCTGCACAAATGACAGTTGACGGCTGACCGAAATTCATGAATTTTATAGGGCAACACTGGGATGGGTTAAATCTGTCGGATGAAAGTACATATTAAGCTTTTTTTCAAGCTGGCAGGAATATCAAAGCATATTGTTTGCGTGAATCAAGTTAGTAATCATCTTTAAGTATATTTAAGTATTAATATACAAAGAATATCAAAAAAATATTGCTACAAGCTTTGTTTCACTGCGGTCACACAGTTAACTGCGAGGAATCTGGTACCGAGAACAGGTCCACCATGGTGGATTGCCAGAAGAGACACATCCTTTAAGGTTTCCCTTTACCTGTTTGCAGGGGTAAGTACTTATGTGATTTACCAAGAAGGGTTATCCGAAGAGATATGCTATTCTTCTATCAAGAAATAGTAACAGTATGTAATGATGTCAGATGTGTTCTTTTGTGTCAGCTCATTGTTTTGAATTGCAATAATGCAAAAATTTTAATCGGAAATGTAGCTAGTGATAAACATACAATCAACCAAGGCAGGGTAGAATGAAAAGTCAATTGTTTTTTTTTCTCTGTTTTTGTTTTGTAAAGCTCGTGACTGCCTTACAGTTTCCGTGGAGATTGAATCTAACGCCTTGAAGTTACAACGATTAAATTATAGTCTAACCTGTTACAACCGGAATTTCCATCATCATCTGCCATCTTGTTCTGCTTTGGAGCCGTAAAACTTTAAACAGAGAGAGGCTTTGCATTTCAAGAACGTTTACAGGTAAGTTGATGGGATATCCATTCTGTACAAGCATTTCAGTTTGTTTTGATTTGATAACGTAATGGTAGTTTTCGTTTAAAAGCTGATTTACTAAATACATGTAGGTAACGTATGTTAAAATCCATAAGTAAGCTAGACATGGAGGCATATTTTAGAGGCATGTTTTTCCTCTCACGTTCACACTATGCCCTTATCAGAAATACATATACAGGTTGGGACACTCTGTCCATATTTTCTACTGTCTCCATATGAATTACAAGATTATAGGTTCAATTCCAAAACAGGTACATTGACAATTCAGAGAGTGAATGTGCCCTGGAGCACATGGCATTGTTTTCAGTTTCAAGCAGTTTCCCAACATTGTTGATATATTCAACAGTGTTAATTTACCCATGGGCTGAAAGGGGGAAAATCAAAAGGGATGTGGGAAGATTGTTATGTTAGATTTTCCCTGGGGATTTTAACAGATTTAAAAATGGAAACAGCAAACATTAAAAAAAATTGAACTGCAGCTGATATATTGAGAATGGAATTTATAATTTCTTCAGCAGTAGCAGGTGCGTGTGTAACAGCTGTTTAGCTGCAGATATAAATACGAGACAAATGTCATTTTAGAATGGGATATTATAGAAAATCTTATCTTTTGTCAGTGACAATTTTGTTTGCTATATTCAAAAGTGACCCTTGATCAAAAGGTTTTTAGAAACTAAATCAGTGGTATGGAAGTACGGTAACTTTTCACAATGACATGTAAGGTAAAGTCTGTTTACGAGCCTAGTGGCCCATTAGGCTGGTGCTTAACTCCGGTTTCTGTAGCATGAAGCAATTAGGAGTGCCAGTCCATCGCAGGGTTACTCCCAGCATTAGATTGCCAGTACCCATTTATACACCTGGGTAAAGAGAGAGGCACTGTGAGAGTAAAGTGTCTTGCCTAAGAACACAACACAATGTCCCGGCCAGGGCTCGAACCCAGACTACTCGATCGGAAGTTGAGCGAACTAACCATGAGGCCACAGCACCTCCACACAATGACATATACATGCATATTATTAACATGCGGAGTGTAACTTGATAAATGGGGCAAATGTGGAGCTGGTTGTGAAGGGCTTCCTCTCCTCTTATGTGCAGTCTTCTAAAATATGACAAGCTTTTGTAACTGTTCACAGTGCTGATAGCAGGCTCCAGAGTCATCATGGCTGAAAAAGAGGTCAAACCATTCAGCCATAGCCACAACCTAGAACAATATGTTTTGCTGGCCAAGTCAGCAAGAGGAGCTGGATTAGTAGCCCTAATAAATCAGACCTTAGAGGCCCCTGGTGTGTATGTTTTTGGGGAACTCATAGAGATGCCTTCTGTCAAAGCGGTATGTAGGGTTATGTCACATTTGTCTTCAGTTATTTAGGGCTCTGCATTCAAATTGCCATCACGTTATAATTAAATCACACTCAAAACTTCTGACCATACTGCTTGTCTCTGGAGTTTGTAGTTGGGCTGACAATTCATGCAGCCTCTCACAGCTCTTTCTACTTGAGCATAGGAGGAGAAAGAAGTAAATTTTTTTATTGATTGGAGAAAACAATTTAATTTAGAACTCATGTGAGGAATTTTTGAGACCATATCCACTAAGTTTATGAAGAATTGCAGCTATGCAATTAAAAAGCCAAACAGGTGGCCAAATTGGAAAATCATACTGCAAATGAAATTGTCAAATTTTTTTGTAGTTTCCTAAACAGTGGGAGCTGTACAGTGTATGTCATTGGATACTTTATGTTTTCATAACGGGATAATTTAAAGTCAAATCATTTTTCCTTTTCCTAGGTCTAAAGTCTAAGTTGATGATTAACTTGTAATTTTTTGATAAAAAAATGTTTTGGATTCCTTTTTCATCCTTGATTTCACTTGCAGCTAGAAAACTCTGAAAATGCATCATACTGGAATCTCTTGAACATATTTGCATTTGGAACATATAGTGACTATAAAGGTAACATCAAACTTCCTCACTGTGTGTAACAATAGGCATCATTACCTACATGTAGTAGCCTTGTTTGACAGTCAAACTTAAAGGACAGGCATATTATAATAATTATAATGGGACAGGCATATTATAATATAATGGGACAGGCTTATTATAATATAATGGAACATGCATATTGTAATATAATGGGACAGGCATATTATAATATAATGGGACAGGCATATTATAATATAATGGGACAGGCATATTATATATTAGTGGGTTCAGTTGATGTAACACTTGGTGGCAGATACTCAACAAGACTTGGTTTCTTGAGCTGTGTGATGTCTTTATAACTAAACACGTTGTTCCAATTTACCAGGCCACAATTGATTTTTGTGATTTTAACTGTACAATGTACATGTAGCTTGGAATAGTAAAGTCACTAAAGGTTTCCTGGCCCTTCCCATTAGGTGTTGCGAACAACTGCCTCCCCTTTGTCATGAATATTGTCCATGTGCCTTAATAGAACCGAACTAAAAGACTGAGTGGGTAGTGTGTCTTTGAACGTTCAATAAGATCAAGGTCATAGTAAAGATTGTTTTGTGCTAAGACTCTCAAGAGCAGTGCATTGAAATCTTACAGTGATTGTAATTTCATAGTGATTAGAAATTGTTGTCTTTGTTTTTCCTTAAGTGTGTGTATTCATTGTTTCTTTGTAGAAAAAGCCAATTTGTTACCAGCTCTAACTGCATCACAGTTGAGGAAGCTACAACATTTAACCATAGTGTCCTTAGCAGCTAAATCAAAGGTACATCTGTATGTTTATTAACCCTTTTCACCCCAACATTGGTATGAATACTCCCCATACTGTTCTCTATACATTTCCTGAAGTGCTGAAAAGGAGAATTTGTTTAAGAATAAAGAGCTTCTTTAGTTGGTGAACATTTTTTTAATTCGTGTGACCTTACTGTGTGATTCAGTTGTGATATTGTAAGGAGAAATTACATGCTGGTCACTCTTCGAGTTAAAGGGTTAATAAGGTATAGCTGTAGATGTAGATGGCTGGGCTTTATGAAACAAAAGTGTTTGTACATGGAAAATGTAACTGATTGATCATCAAAATGGCCACTCAAATGACAGACTTCTATTTTTGGAAAGGAAGAGCAGATGTGAATTATGAAATTCCTTTTTAATAGTGAAGTTTACCACATACAAGTATCGCATTATCTTAAGTATTGCATTATCTTCAAAATACTTTTACTTGACTATAAAGGTCTTCATGGCTTAGCTCCAACTTATATTGTTGAACTGTTACATCAAAGAAATGACTCTCGTGTACTGCGTTCCTCATCACAAATGCTCGTGATGGTTCCAAGAACATTTTGAAAGAACTATGGTGACCGTGCCTTCTCCATTGCCGGTCCCAAGCTTTGGAACAATTTACCATATTTCCTGAAAACATCTGAATATGTTGCAATTTTCAAGAGGAACCTTAAAACATACTAATTTGTTCAAAGACGCTTTTTAATTTACGATTTTCTATAATTTAATTGCTATGTTAATTAGTCTATAATTTTGTAAAGCGCTACGGAGAACTAGTTGAGTTTAGCGCTATACTGTACAAATGCTTTATTATTATTATTATTATTATTATTATTATTATTATTATAGAAGTCTACCATACATTTCGTTTGACGCGTAAGACAGTGAATAAAGTTAAAATTAATTACAGCTGTTCAGAAGTGTGGATTTTCTTTGCCTTGTAAAAGTGAATTGTTTTGAAAATCTCATTTTGCAGTTCATACCATACAGTTTGTTATTGCAAGAACTGGATATCAAGAATCTAAGAGAACTTGAGGTACATCTTGTATGTAACTGCCACTGAAGAATCCTTCCCTTGAAATTTTTGATGTTCGTGTTCCTTTCCTGAGATACACAGTAGCTGAATGGTTTGTGAGCAAGACTCTGGGTTAAGATGCCTGGGTTAGAGAAATGTTGTGGTCATTGCTGGTGTAGAATTCTTGGGTGCAACACCTCATTCATTCTGTGTGTCCCCCTGTACTGAGGAGTATATAAGGGTTCTGGCAAACTGTCAGGGAAGCCTGATGAAACATTGGGGGGTGACCTTGCAGTGGAGTACTGTAGCATCCTTTCCAGGGCAGGGGGGTAGCAATACTCCAGGTTGCTCCGTGCTTAGAAAACCAGCATAAGCTCAGGCTGGATGAGCCGCTCTGCTCATGCATGTATACAGACTTCTGAAGACTCATTTGCTATTTTTGTTACTTTCAGGATGTAATTATTGATGCTATTTATGCTGACATTATTCATGGAAAATTAGACCAGAAAAATAAACAGGTGGGTGTGTTCTTCAGTACACCTCTTTTCAGAAGACATCTCAATTCAAGGGACACATGTTTTGGTCCTGACTTGAAAAGTGTTTTTGTAACCTTAGAAACAGAATGATTTGATTTTGTCAATTGTTTTGCTAATGTAAATTGGCCAATATGAAGCTGGCGTTTCTGGCATTGGACCTATGCCAAAGGAAAGGATGAAGGGCTAATGTTGAAAAAAATAAAAAAAGAAAAGCTAATTTACAAACTCTCCACTTTAGGTGTGGCGGGGGGTGTGGGTGAGGGAGTGTCATTCTCCGTCCTCTCCCTCCACTGTTGCCTTTTCCTCCAAATCAATATATTTCTTTTGTTGATGGTCATTTTTAGCTAGAAGTAGATTTTGCCATTGGTAGAGACATCACTCCAGAAACAGTTAACCGAGTCACAGAAGTATTACAAGACTGGTAAGTTTCTTTGTGGATTGAAAAAAATATGCAGAATCCCAATCACATATAGACCATCTTTAACAGTGTGTTCTTCAAACAGAGAGATATGCAACCAAAGTATAATTCTACCGTAATGGCAAAAAAATATTTTTTGGGAAAGATGAACCCTAAATTTTTTTCTTGCTCCCAGTTTTTCGCTTTGTAGCCCAGTTGGTAGAAGTGCTTAACTGTTATCCTGGAGGCCTGGGTTCCAATAACGTCAACACTCAAATTTGTCCAGGCCTCTTTTCGGCAGTTGCTAAAATTGAAGTCCACCTGCATGGATTGTTCCTTTTCTGGATGGTTTTCAATTTGCTCTCTGCTTTGCAGCAATCGTTGCAGTGATGCAAAAATATTGGCATTTTTTCTGAATTATGATACTATTATTCTGTTTGGAATTAGAAGAAAAGAAATTGAAGTGAGCATAAGTAAGATCCAAGCTCATCACATTTGCAGTTAACATGATGTAGTTCTTAAATTTAATGGGCCCAAATTGGTAAACTGATGGTTAAGTGTCTCTAAGCAGGCCTTTGTGGTTCAGTATTGTGTGGAAAAGAATCGGGCGCCATTACCATCTTCTTAACTCAATTTGTAATTTTCAAGAAAATTGCTATGGTTCCTAATTTTTGTTTTTAGCTATTTATAAACGTATTGATTGCTCCCCCAAGTCTCTAATTTACTCCAAGTCAAGCTGCTTTTGCTGAGTGTTGTTGTTGTTTTTTTTTTATTACAGGTGTGACGGTTGCGAATCAGTTCTTCGTAGCATAGAGAAACAAATAGAAAGGGCAAATACACACAAAGAAAAGAAACAAAAGCAAAAGGTTCAGGTGGAAGCAGAGGTACATTACCAAGTCTTTTCACCCACCTTTATCCACCTGTTGATTCACTAGGTGTATACCTACCTGTTAGACTCGTGTATCGTAGGATCTTTACGGTATGTAGTTTTAGAATAGGTAGAAACTTTTTTCAGTTCTTCTTTTCTTCTTTGCCTCTTTTCATTCATTTGTCCATTCATTCAGGTTTTCTTTTATTCGTTGACTCACTCATTCATTCAATTCTTCACTCATACACTCACTCATTCTTTCATGTGCTCATCTTTCATTTTAATTTTTTATTCAATCATTCCATTGCTTATTCATTCACTTATTCATTCATGCGTCCACCTTTTTCATTCACTAATTCACTTCAGTCATTTATTCTATGCAGTCAGTCAGTCAGTTTAGTCAGTCAGTTTAGTCAGTCAGTCAGTTTAGTCAGTCAGTCAGTTTAGTCAGTCAGTCAGTTTAGTCAGTCTGTCAGTTTAGTCAGTCAGTCAGTTTAGTCAGTCAGTCAGTTTAGTCAGTCAGTCAGTCAGTCAGTCAGTCAGTCAGTCAGGCAGTTTAATCAGTCAGTCAATTCGTCGGTCATTCTTTTGTTCATTTTTTCGTCCATTCGTACATGTACTTTTTTTTCAATGATAAATTCTTTCGTTTCTTTATCCTTCAACATTCGTTTTTCCATCTATTTATCCATCAGTAAATCGGTAACAGCAATTTTGACGACGGTTTTGTTTTGTCTCCAGGTCGAAAATCTGAGAAAGGCAATAAAGGCGTCTTCTCAGTCAGACATGGATAATGGCGGCGTGTCAGGAATGCCAGCAAGTTACCACAGTCAACAATATCAACAGAAGGCTCCCACCACATCCAAAACTAAAGGGTTGCTTTATCTTATTTTACCTCTCCTTGATATTCAAGCGTTAAACTTTTTCTACATCGGAAAGTGGGTAATTTGGGGACTCAAAGATAAGTACACTACTACAACTCTTGCATGTTTGGTCTATGGAAGGTTCGCTCGACATTTCAACTTCGTACTTAGTCCACTCGATTATTGCTTTACTTGGTTTTCATCCGCTGGTGAAATGAATTTTATGTCAGTAAAAATTATGATCAGATTCCTCCAGGGGAAAGAAGAACCCTCTAAAGGACGCCCAGCTCCCAACGTGTCAGCTTAGTAGCTCAGTCGTTAATATCATAGTCTTACTGTCCAAGTATCTGAGAAGCACGGGTTTGAAATTCCATCAAAATCTGAATAGTCCTTTTTTACAGTTGTGGGCTTGGTGGCCAAGCCTTTGAACAGGAGTGAGGTTAAGGCCATGTTATGATAGAGCTGTTGCTGCTTTTCAAATGCAAATTTCTTTGTTATCATGCTGACTAGATACAGGTCTCTATCACAACAGGGTCACCCTTAGCCTCACTCCTGTTCAAAGGCTTGGCCACCAAGCGCACAACTGTAAAAAGGACTTCTTTTCAGGCTTCTTTTCTTGAATTGTTTAAATTGCGGCTCACATGCGAGGATCATTGTTTTAACTTTAACGTCATGTGATGTAAGGTTTTTCTACATCAATCTTTTTTTTTCTGTTACAGTTTACGAGGAAGCGGAAAGGTGTTTGGCACTCAGGTTCGCAGATGACTGAAAATTGGACAATACTGC